AGCCTTATAATTTAAAATAAAAAAATAATAATCTCTTTCCAGATAATATCATCTCTGTTAAATTACAATATAGCTATCCAGAAAGAACCTTCTGGTTGTGTGCGGATATTTGTGTTACCAAAATTGAAAACTCTTAGCTAAAATTGTATGGTTTATGTACATCAGTTACAAAGAACAATAAACTCACAGCTATCCTATTCTGCGTTTGTATAAACCCAAAAAAACTGCTTACAGTAAAGTTTTCTGTCTGGCTGGCTCTTTTTTACCCTATGCAGAAAATCGTCAAAGTGTTTACTGTTAAGTGAGATATGGGGATGTGAAGAACAAAATTCCACAGAACAATTATATATAGAGTTTTAAGGGTTTTGGAGCTCAGTTTCAGATAGAATGGGTTGCTCGGAGTTAGAAGTGTCACTCGTATCCTTGGTCATGTGGAGAAGTAAAGTTCCTGAGAGAATTACGAAAAAACCACAGATTTCTGAAATTATTTGGGTTGCATTTTGAGAGTCCCAGTCCTGGATAACCAGCACAACACAATTATCAATTTATTTGATCAAACAACAATGCAGTTGAGCATCTGAAAGATGCATTAGAAATAAATAATGGAAACAAAAAAGAGACGAGGCTGAAATTAGTGTTTTTGCATGGTGAAAGAGAAGGAGAGTAAGAAGAATTTGGTAATCTTCACATATTCTCTTTTTAGTGATTTTCACATATTCAATAGAGTTTGGTTCTCATCAAATACCCTTTGGAGTTGGGTTATCTTCTCCATATAAGTGATGGAGTTGAAAAACTTTGATGGCTTCTAGATAATCTTTGATTCAATAATCATATTTTATGGGATGAGAGTTAGCAATGGTTACCTTAAACATAATCATGCTAGCAAAGATAGTGAACAAAGTGAACATCACATAGTAGACGGGTGATACCACAGCGGTGTTGAAAATATCCAGCGCCTGCACAAATGATAAAATCATGTTAAAAACTGGCTGAGCAAAAGCATTATGAAATTTTTAAGAACAAAGCGTAAATATCTTATGCGTGGATTTGTTTAATTTGAAGATAAGGAGCTCTAAAAAACAATAATGGCGTGCAGAGGGATTGGACCAAAGAGGATTAATGTGTCCAAAGAACTTCAGATTGTACAAGACTAATGATATCCTTCAAAATAAAAAAATACTTTTTATTTGTAGCATGAACGGAACATTAGTGTGGCAAAATGACAGAATTATATCCTAATCCTACAAGAATAGCTGTTTCACGTGTCATGATTAACATTGAGACTGGATTCAACTACCAGATTTGCTAGGTTTTTTGTGAAAGTGTTTTTTTTTTTTTTTGTGACGAGGAACCGTCCCCTGCCACGCCCGGCATAGCCGAGCGCGTTTGGCGGTCCATAAACCCCGGCCAACCTACCGGGTCACCCACGCCATTATACTCGCAACCGGCGCTTAGGAGCCCCCACTGAAGGGGCATTGCCGCTCGAGGGGAATCGAACTTGGGATGGGGGTTCCATCCGAGCACGCCCACCAACCAAGCTAAGCATCGGTGGGCTGGGAAAGTGTAACTAATTTCATCTAAAATATATGTTTTCCTGCAAAGTTGATGTCCTTGAGTTGATTCTGAATTCATTTTGGATGGCTGGGATAACTGAATGGGAAAAGAGGGGGTACAAAGATTACATAGAATAGTGGAAAATTGAATATTCAGGTCTAGTATCCGTTTTGATGATGTATAAGGCCACAAAAAGCCCCAGAAAAGAAACAGAGAGATGCTTACGTACATGCCTGCATAAACACGGTAAAAATTCATTTAAAGAACATTATCTAAGAGGAGAGAGAGGGAGACTAAACTTAAAGATTTCTTTTGGTTCTGAACATTCTGTATATGATTAAAGCTGGCCGTACTCTCAAGCATTAAAAGAGCAATGGTAAAATGGCCTATCTTGTATCCACATTATCTAAAATATTGTGTCCTACTAGTCAAATTTGTCCAGATTAACAATCTGGATCATCAACAAGTCATATGGAAACTCCTAAATTTAATTAATTATAACAGGTCATTGTAGAATTTCTATTAAATTCTGATGATTTTCTCAGCGTAAAAGCATGAATAATGTCATGCGTTATCTATTCCTTTTCCCATACCATCCATTTCATTTACATTTGCAATTTACAGCAATATCATATTGGATAAGCCATAAAAGGCCAATTAACTTGACCTTTTTTTGGAGGTCATAAGCTTGTAAATATTATGGAGTAGGACCCTCTTTTGATGTATATAATATAATGTTCATGTGGATCAATAAGTTGTAATGAGAGCGTCAAATAATTTGAATCTGAAATGATATCAATAACAAAAATGATGCATATAAATTAACACAAAAAAGTAAAGAAAATACTATATCAAAATTTTTCCTAAAATTAGGAAACTAATTCTCCTTTTCTTCCCCAATGTGTGATGCCTTGCCTCAGAAAAAAAAATAGCTGAAGCAGCGCTTGAAGTTGTACCTTGCAATATATGAGTCCTTTGACTCAGTTCTGTTCCCAAGACAACCAAATATCCTTAAAGGACCTCAACATTTCCAGAAAAATTGTACCCTCAACCAATATAGCACCTAGCAATATAAGATTCATTTTCATATAAAGTGCATATCTCACCCCAACCAAAATCTTATAAAACATAATTTATCCTGATACAAAAAAATTCCCAGTCCTATAATCCTATACACAACAGTATTTTCAATATATGCAGGCCTATTGCATGATTTATAACTAAAAACTAACGTCTAACATGATACACATAACAGAATATGATGAGTCAAGTACTTACTAATCCTTCTACTTGTAACTTGTTATCCCAGAATGAACATTACTTGAATCCATATTAGTCATGTTTGCATTGTTTACTTATTCTCTTGATGATTGTCATATCTATGTTGCTCCCTCTTCTTCAATACCATATATCTCTATTAATATTGTCTTTCTGTTTGATGATAGAAATAAGTCTTGGTCCTCACCAAAAATTTGCCTTTAGAGGTATACTCCTGCTCTAATGGCCTACCTCTCACAAAACAATCCCTCATCCTACTTTTCTTCAACACGCTTTGATCTTAAAAATCATACTTCTGACTAAAGTGAGTTCTTTATATATTTTAGTCTTATGGTATTTTTTCTATCTAGCAGTGTCAAAAAAATGCTCATAAGGGAAATGAAAAGAGCACAACAATAATAAAATCTAATTGTCATCGTCCACAGTCACATCAAACTTAGACAAATCATAAATATTTGAAGTAAATTGATTAAAAAATGACTTGATTTGTATATTTTCCAACATGTTAAACAAATATATTCTCTTCTTCTGATATAGTTTGTTGAATGTGCTTTTAGCCATGACTCCAGCTTGAGCGATTAATCTTTTGCGGTGAATTCCTCTAAACCTCTATCAGTATCAAAACCCATTTCGTCAATTGGATCATCATAAGTGATTTTCATCCATCTTTTGTATTTTTCATCTTCACCGATCATCATTGGCATCTTTGAACACCTATGAGTACTTTCATTTGACCTTTTTAGACAAGAACACCACACATGTTAGTTCTTTTGTCCCTCATAGCCCTCGATCTCAAAGTTGTGCTCTGATACTAATTTGTTATAATGAAGGAACCAAATACCTTTAACTAGAAGCATCACAGGAATCACACCATAAACCAACACAAAAGAGAGAAAACATAACACAAAAGATACCAAAATTTATGTGCTTTGCATTTAACCAAGCTTAAGTCTATGGCATAGGAGATAGATTTGATCTACTATTAAATAGGCCAAAAAAGGTATTCCACAATGAAAGGAACAATCAGTGCTACACCCCCTCATAAACAAAGAAGAAATATCAAAATTAATCTCTCAAATTAGATTTACTCATCACCAAGCCTTCTTCTCATATGCACCAATGAAATCTCCAGTCCAGTAACGAAACCCTAGCCACTCAGAGGGTATGTCGATATAGAATAAGAGAGAGCTTCATGATTTCATTAAACCATAGTCAAGAAATCACCATAGATTGTTGTTGCCCTCTCCATACCAAGAAAGAAGGATGCACTGGACCCAAAGGAACACTACACAATTCCTGAGATACACAAATACTGAGGATAGCTCATATTTTAAGATGAGATTGTGATCCAAGGCCGAACTGACCTTTACACAAGTCCTTAATAGGAACTTTAATAATGAGATTTCCTGTTTCCAAATCAAATGGAGGCAATTAAGTCATTTTTGCACTATTTGTTTATAAATTTTCACAGTTAGGACCATGCAAGGCAGGTATTATATTCTTCTTCTATCCATCCTGCAGTTATCAAGTACATTCGATGGTTAGGCCATTCTGTGATTAGTCCAAACATTATGCTTTGGCCCAGTCCACCTGACGGTTTAGTTAGGTAAAAATGTCACTAAAAAAACGTAATAAAAATGTCCACCAACACCTTCATAGAGAAAAAAATTTTAAACGAGAAAACTAAGTACATCTTGATAAGAAAATCAATTCCACGCTCCAATATTTCCACTGAAGATTGACATTAATATCAATAGAGAAGATGCGTACATTAAATCCTCGTTATATCTTACATTGAAACATGAAGGCTTAAAAACAGTTTTTCCATCTTTTCCCTTCTTGTTCAAAACTCAGCAGCCAAATGAAGCATAAAATATACTTTGTTTTACATTAACAAGTAGTCTTGTTTACTTCATTTTTATGAAGAAAAAGAAACCAGAAGATGGCGTATTATCTATACAGATTGAAAATAAGATAAGCCCCCCAAAACAATAGATTGAGAAACAAAAGAGAAAAGGCAATGTGGAAACTGAAAGGTACAGTTATAGTATGCTGGATTAGACGCTCATATAAAAGACTTAATAAAAAAGATATGCACTTTGCAAAGTGAAAATTTCAATTATATTATCAAGCAAGAAACCTCAGGGGAATATATATTGAATAGAAAATATATTTTCAGGCAATAACGTTCATACTACATTCTAATAGTAGCTTCATTTACCTTGTTTAAGTAATTCAGTTGCATGAGACAACAGAGAGCTGCAACAACAGCGAAAAACCAAGTTTGAGCATAAATAAATTGATTCATGCCTGTGAATGTGAGCTTTATGGCAATTCCTAAAGCCTTGATACACATTACCTGTTTAAGAAAAGGAACATTCTAAAGTGAATAAAAGAAAGAAATAGAACAATTTTTCTCGAATAGTACAGTTTTAGCTGCTGAACATACCGTAAGAGATCCCATAAGCGAGCAAATTCCAATATATATCAGCATGTTTGTTTGACCATATGGTTTCTCAAATTTAATAACAAGGATAATCACGAAGAGCATGACTATACAAGAGTAAACTATAAAACCTGCAGGATAAATCAGTAGATAAAAATGATGATGAATAGGCATTAATGTCCACAATATGAGATCATGCTAGATGGTACAGTATTTAATGATGGAGTTTTGATTGCCACAAATAGAAAGATAAGAGAATAATGAGAAATTATTTGTAGGCTATTTGGAGTGATCCATATACACAAATTAGAACAACAGAGAACAGAGCAGTCATAATTGGTCTCGTCAATATTTTCATTCATAAAATCACAATAATTGATTTCAAATACAAACCAAGAATCTCTATTTATAGAAATAGTGTTATAAATCAAGTAATTTGAAATCAAATATAATCCTTCAGAAAAATTAAATCAAAACCCATATAATTCAAGCTCAAACCCAAAATTATCCAAAGGATAATTCATCCTAATTTAATTCCAAATAAAACCTAATAAATCCATAAATCCCAAATAAATTGAAAAAAAATATATAAAAATGCATTGATAAAAATTTAAATTTATATTAGTTCTTTGATTCCCCTAGGGCCTAATAAAGCTCCTCCTAAAGAGTTGAAGGCGGTGGCTAAGGTGTAGTCTTAGGTGTAATTGGATGGTGGGATGGGTGACAATCGCCATGATGACCTCCTTACAAGGGAGATTGAGATTTGGGCTCAAATGACCCCAAATAGGCTGCAATCAAGCAAGTAGCTCAAGACTTAGGCTAACATATCAGATGATGATCACCAATGTAACTTCTAAGTAACAAATTAAGTTGAAAAACACTATAAGGAGCTTGAGATATAATAATCTCAAAATGGAGGGACTATGATGCATTGAAACTTCTCTTCAAAGAGACGTGCAATGTCCAACACGTATCTGACACGACGTGCATTTGACACTTGTTCGACACATGTCGGACGCGCCAAAAACGTGTTCAATTTAAAAAATATTAAATATAAATTTGAACACAAATTGGACATGTTTGTCCGACAAACATGTCTGAAATATTTTATATTTTTTTAATATAATTTCCTATATTTAAAATTTTATTTATTTAAAATATAAAAACTAAATTTCTTATTTCCTATCCACAACACTAAATGAATCGCCCGTACTCAATACCCCATTCATTGAATATTCTCATTGTCATTTCTCTTAGGCGGGTCGTGACTTTGGTTTCACAACAATGTCTGATGTCATCTCAATATCGATGTCTGACGTCGTTACAACATCGACATTTCAAATCACCTCAACATCAAAATTTGACACTATATTGACATTGATGCTCGACACTAGCAATTTTTATGCCCACAACTTTACAGCTCATCTTTGTCCGACATCTTCTTAACATTGACGACCAACGCCCTCTCAATATCGACGACAGATGTCCTCTTGATATTGACGTCCGATACTTACTGCATAACATTGATGTCTGACTCTTAACAGCATTGTCTTCTTCTCTCTCAATGTCTGATACACGGCATCAATGTCCGACTCTGGACATATTAATATTAATCATTTTAAACACAAATTCTATTTAAATGACTTATTATTTTTAATATTATACTTGTTCAAAGAGATGGTGAAATAGATGGGGATATTATGTGTAGAATTCAAGTTTGATGCTTGAAGTGGAGTCATGCATCGGGCTTGTTGTGTGATAGAAAAGTCCCCCTCAAACTTAAGGGAAAATTCTATAGATGGTGGGTTAGGACTTGTAATGTTTTTATGGTGCCACAGAGATGTTGGCCATTAAAAGAAGAAAGCATAATATGAAGTGTTCAGAGATGAGGATGCTTAGTGTGGCATGATGTGGCTTTACTTTTAAGAGATGGGTTACGAAACTCTATACATTAAACGTTGACTAGCTCACAAAATATTGGTATACTTTTGGTTGAGATGAGTACATCTATATTAAAAAGGTTAGTGGAGTGCCATTAGTTGGTAAACATTATAATATCCCTACAGAGGACGGTAAACTCACAAATTTGCCTAATTTACTAAGGCAGGTGTTGACCTTGATAATAGAAGGAGACGAGTATTAAAGGTTGTTGTGTGAAATTTGACTAGTGATTATATGTAGTTTTATCACCTCTAATTGAAGGCAGATGTGATCCACTTTGCTATAACTAAGAATGCCATTCTCAGTAAACTGAAATATTGTTACTTAACCAGCTAATACTTTTACCAACAAGTCTACTACGGTAATAATGCGATTATTATTATATTATGATACTATGCCTGACTTAACATATATTTATTCATTTACCTATGTTTCATAATTGCTTAAGTCATGATCGAACTATATATCGTCATTGTGATTCA